TTTGAGCAGATTTTTACGTTTTACAGCTCTATATTAGTCACCTGCTTGCTTATAAAAACATTGTCTGATAGATGACAACACAATTACTTTCATGTTTCCAAATTCTATACAAGATCAGATATAAGTTGACCCATAGATTTTGAAAAAAACACCTTCAACACCTATTGTCATAGCAGTATCAGTCACAATAGCAAGGAAACGAAAGCAGTTCAAACACCCATTAACAAATAAATGGATTTAGAAATTGTGGTACATTTGCACAATGGACACAGCACTAAGAAGCAATCATTCAGTACAATATTATATAACTTGTGAGAGATTAAAGCATTTTTGTGAACGAAATATCTCAGTCATTTAAGGACAAATATTCCACTAGGTCACTGTTGTGAAAATGGGAAGATAACGGAGTAAAATATATATAAATGTTACAAGGAGAAAGGAAAGAAGGGGCCATCGAAAGAGAAAGGGGCAACAATCATTGGGATAGTAGAAGAGAGGTTAGTGGTTGGAAGGAGAGCGAAGTAATGGGAAAGGTTCAACGGGGGCTCGAAAAGACATAGAAGGATGGTTATTAATTAATGACTGTATAAAATACAAATGCATGTACAAAACATGATTTTTGGGGTTTTTCTTTTGCTTTCTTTTCTCCTTTTAAAAATTATTATTATTAATTTTAATGAAAATTTACAAAGATTTTGGATTTCCATTCATTCATTGTTGCACTTTTCTCCCTGCGCACCCCTCCTCTCCAGTTCGTTCTTCTCTTTGAAAAGTAAAATTCTTTCATTGTTATACAATCCCTCCTCCCAACTCCACTCCACTATGCAGGCTTCGTTCTGGACTCATGTCATGACAATAATACCTAATCATATGTACCTATAAAACATGATATGTATGAATGATTATATGCAAACCAACAGAAAAAAATAAACTCAGATGGTGGAAAAAGAAAAGTTAATCATTTTATTGGAAGAAAATGAGTAGGTTTAGAGCAGGAGCCATGTGAAAGCACTTAATGAAACTCAAATCTTGGAAGAGCTCTTGGGAAAGGATAAACGCTTTATTAGAAATCAGCCTGTGGTTAGGAGAGTGAGGGAAGGAGTTACTGCTTAAGGGGCGCCGAGTCTCAGGGAGCCCTGGCAGCTTAGTTACGCTGCTAACCACAAAGCAGCACCTCTCTGGGGTTCATAGCCACCAGTGGCTCCAAGGGAGAAAGATGAGTAATAAACCAAAATTCAATATAGACGTGGATGTGTTGTTAAGTGTTGGGGACAGTTATGGAGGGACTCTAGGAGAGAATATGTCAATGATGTGGCAGGGAAGAAAAGGAACTGACAGGATCTTTATCAGAAACAAACAACAGGTACTACTGAATATTTTCTTAATTTACTGTCCTCATCCCTACCCTCAATTACAGCTACTAGTATTATGACATTCTCTGAGAAAACTAGAATGCAAACATAGACTCAAAACAGGTTGCAAGGAAGTCAGTATTCAAAACCTGGTGTTATCTTAGTTTATACATAAATACGGTCAGGAAGTGACGGCTGAGGCAGGTGTCCCTCCTTACAGAGAAACAACAGTATGTGCAAAGCAGCTGTGATGGTGTCATCATTGAAGAAATCTTTTCATTTTCTCTAGAGAAACCCCAAATTGTTAAGAAAATTACTAGATTAGATTTACCCAATAGTTTTAGCTCACTTGTAAGGAGTAGATGGAAGCTGATTTGAGAGTTTTGGCGAGTTGAAATTAGGTACATAGATTTTAATATCTGTGAAAAATCTTTTGAAAAAGCTTCAACATTTTATCTATCGGCATGTTTATATCATCTATTGTAAGGCTTGTTCAATACAATGCCCACTCCAGTTTTATAAAGAGGCATTATAAGGTGAGTATAGTCAAACCTTTGCTTACCCCAGAGGCCTGTAGCTAAGGAAAAAATGGTAACAAGTTTAGTTGCAACATTTTCCTGGAACATGGTACCCAGAAATAAGCAGACCCCAAACACTGATAAGGTTGTCATGGAGAACTGCATTCCAATCTTAAATCAGTTATTGCCAAGAAGGGTGGTTTCAAATTCTACAGGCTACATGAATTTCCACCTGGCCTTTTCCCCACTGAGATGTGGTGAAAAGATAACAGTAGATACTGCCCTGGCAAAAATGAATCACTAAAATGCCATCTTCTGCTTACGTGTTCCCCACTCAAAACATAACATTTTTAAAAAATTTGCATTATTGAGTCTCAAGCAACTTGAGGGCACATAACAACAACAACATGATCTAAAATTTTAGGAAAGTAAGGAAGTTACCCATACATTGTTCATGTCTTTTACTTTTCTCTTACATTGTAAATGTCACATTCAATATGGAATTTTTATCCTGTTTTTGTCATAAAATGCTGTCGTTAGTTCCACTCAATTCAACTCCTACTCATAACAATCTTATGTATGAGAGACTCCAACCAACTCTTAGCAACTTTGTGTATAAAGATCAAATCCTTGCCCAATTTTAAGCGCTTTCTCACAGTACCTGCTGTGCTTGGGCTCATTTTTGCAGTCAATGTGTCCAAAACAGGTATCTGTTAGATTGTCATACTGTAGAGGCCTGTGCATTGTCGTGATGCTGGCAATTATGCTACCAGTATTTGAAATATTAGCAGAGCTACCCATGGTGAACAGCTTGATTGAAACCAAGCTTCCAGACTATAACAAACTAAGAAGCAGAATGAGTCACCATTCCTGAAATAATAGACCCATGAAAACCCTGTGAATAACAGTGAAATCTAATAAGTCATCTTATGTTGCTGTTGTTAGGTGCTGCTGAGTCATAGACGACTCATAGTGACCCTACGAACAAAGGCCAGAACACTGTTCATACATTGAGTTTCCGGAGGCAAGCCATTTCGGAATTGGATGCCGCTCCTGCTTCCAAGCTTGTTTAAGTCGGGAAGCTCCACCAAACACTGTCCAACATGTGTAACCATCACATTTGGCACATCAGTGTCACAGTGTTTAGCATCACAGCAACCACGAGTTACCTCTGTACAGTAATGCACAGACCACTGCTATACCACCTAGAAGAATGTTTGATAAAAAAATACAATTTGAACCTTGGGCCCTTTGGGGCTTTAAGCCACCACCTGCTTTAAGCCCTAGGCCAAGCCTCAAGGACCTCACTTCTGGGGGGAAGAGCAGTATCACACATCAAACACCAGCTTGAAAAAAAGCACATGACCCCTAAAAGTTGCAATTACTTGCACACAAGACCGCCAGGCTCAGGCAGCAAGAGGACACAAGCCATCTTATATATTATTAAATATTCTTCCTAAGAACCATTGACGAAATAGTTTGTCAATAACTAACATTTATACGACTGATCTTTTTTAATACCATGGACTTTTAATATTTATATTGCTCCAGTGTTTATTATTATTAGTTGTTGTTGTTGATTGTCATAGAGTCAAGCACAACTCATGGCGACTCTATGAACAAAAGACCCGAAGCTTTTCTGTAACTATTATTTCTCCAAGTTCATTGAGTTTCCATAGGCATGAGATTTAGGAAGTGGATGCCACTCCTGCTTCCAAACCTGAATCAATCTGGGAACTCCTCCAAACACTGTCCTTGATGTGCAATCATTATGGTGTTTGACATGCAATGCTGTGATAAATATTAATTTCTTTATTAATGTGAACTTTTTTATGGGTAAAATATTGTATATGTTCATCCTACTATTTGAAATTATTGTGCATGATATTATATTGCCTATTTCATTATTATCAACATTCATTATGATATTTTGCTAAATCTAATACTGAGAACCATGCAATGTTACTCTGCCAGGGATGTGTCCTATCTCCATACCTTTTCAACCTATACGCAGAGCAGATTATCCGAGACGATTTATCAACAACCTGCGTTATGTGGATGACACAACCCTGCTTGCTGAAACTGAGGAAGATCTCATGCACTTGCTGCAGAGGGTCATGACTGCAGCCTTCGGTATGGATTGAGGCTCAATGTCAAGAAGACAAAGATTCTCACCACTGGACCAACTGGTAGCATCAGGATGGATGGTGAAGAGGTTGAGATTATTCACAGCTTCAGTTTGCTTGGCTCCATCGTCAACACTCTTGGCACCAGCAGCCAGGAAATCAAAAAACGTATTGCGATGGGAAAGTCTGCTGTTTGGGACCTCTCTAAAGTACTCAAGGGCAACGGTGTCTCTCTGGAGACTAAGGTGTGCCTGATACAGGCCATGGTCTTTGCAATCACTTGTTATGAATCAGAGAGTTGGACAAGGACTAAGGAGGATAGAAGGAGAATTGATGCCTTTGAGCTGTGAGCTGGAGAAGAGTATTGAATGTACCATGGACTGCCAAGAAAACAAACAGATTCATCCTAGAGAGGGTTAAACCAGGCTTCTCCTTGGAGGCAAGGATTTTGGGGCTTCGTCTGACATACTTTGGACATGTTGTAAGGAGGAACCAGTCCTTGGAGAGGGACATCATGCTTGGGAGGGTGGAGGGACAGCGTAGGAGGGGAAGGTCCTCTATGAGGTGGATTGATTCAATGACTAGGGTAATCGGGATGGGTGTGTCAGAAGCAATGTGACTGGCACAGGACAGAGCAGGGTTTAGGGCTGTTTGTACATAGGGTCGCTATGAGTCGCAAATGACTCAACAGCACATAGTAACAACAACAATACTGAGAAATCATATCATTGCTAATATTTTTTATTTCTTACCTCTAATCAACTATAGTTGATTATCCATAGTATTTGTTCTCATTTTGTTGTTTGCATTTTGATTTTGTGTATTTGACTATTTTAATGTACATGTTTAAAGTTTTATGAGTTAAATATATATATTTTCTCTTATGTTTGTATATTATGTATTTATAAGAATACATTTTCCTTCAGAAAGATTTAAAGATTCTATTTTCTTACATATTTATGTCGTTTATACTGAATAACTTAATGCTCTTATGTCTATTTTAGGATTATGTAATAACCTGAACTGATGATATCCAGATAAGTAACCAAGCTTCTCTACATCATTTGTTGAATAATTTTATCATTTATCTTTGGGTTTGGGTGCGTCTTTTAATACGAAGTTAACAAATAATCTGGCCTGAACACTCTACATGTGGCTTCAGGTACAAGCAGTGTCTACTGAATGCTGTATTTCCAGGTGGATCTCTCTGCAGGACCAGGCTTCAGGATCATCTAAGGCCCCTCCTCTCTTAACAGGCTAGCATTTAAACACACCAAACCTGCTCTTTGTGGCCCTTTTAGCTGTTTACTTGGTTTTTCCTGGCTATAGCCCACATTCCTCCAAATGACTTGAGAATACAGAAAAGCTCATTTTCAGAGTATCTGCCCCCAGGCAGGGCATGAACTGGAAGAGCTATGACTGTAGGATTTAAGAGCCTTTTCTGGACTAATGATTTCCACACTGAGATGTTAGGGGACATGCAAAAGAAGTACAGAACAGAGTACTTCTTTTGCATTTTTTGTTTGTTCGCTAATCCAGGTGAATGTACGTGAAATAAAGTACAAGAGTAGGCCTACAGTGTTGTAATTTAAATGATGTCCACAGATGAGAGGAAACTAAGGTAAATATAAGAAAATGGAATTATTTAGAAGATTCTTCCTTAATTTATCTTAACTATTTTTGCTCTTTTCTGAGTTAAGATGATGCACCTTCCCCGTGTTGTTGTTAAGTGTTGTCCAGTTGTAGGTGACTCATAGCGACCCTAAAGTCCTTGACACTTGCGTGTGTGACTTTCATCCTTTCTCCAGGTTCATCGGGTTTCCGGAGACAAGCTACTTAAGGAAGTGGGTGCCACTCCTGCCTCCAAGCTTGTTTTAATCGGGAAGCACCACCAAACACTGTCCACCATGGGTAACCATTATCGCATTTGACACATCAGTGTCACCGTGTTCAGCTTCACAGCGACCACAAGTTGCCTCTCTATGGCCAAGCAGACACTCCAGGACTTAACGACCTAGAAGACTGAACAAAAACAACAAAAAACAGGCCTTAGGGCCTCATATTAGATCACCCACCTTTGGCTTGGTAGCGTAGCGTGGCTTTCAGTCTACGAGGAAACTGGTCTCTCTGTGTTGTTAAGTGCCATCGAGTCGTAGACGACTCATAGCTACCCTATGAACCAAAGTCCTCGGCACTTGTGTGCCTGACTTTCATCCTCTCTCCAGGTTCATAGGGCTTCTGGAGGCAAGCTATTTATGGAAGTGGATGCCACTCCTGCTTCAAACCTTGTTTCAAACGATCTTCCCTTTATCCCACTTCAAATACCTTAGAAGTGAACATCCTTGAGCAGGTTCTGTACTCTTTCAAAGTCTCAGTTTCTTTGTCTGCAAAATGAGTCTAATGATAGCAAACAAACAATTATGAATGTCATCTCCTGCTGGCAGAAAGAGTAATGTTAAATTAGACACCAAAGAACTAATGCTGAAATTGTGTGGAGCAATTGGAACTCTAATCACGACTGATGAGAAAGTAAAGTGGTGCAAACATTATGGAAAGCTGTTTGAACTTCTTTAGAGAACTGGGAATAGAAATATCATTTGATTCGGCAGATTCACTACTAAGGATGTATCCCAAAGAAAAACAGCTGCAAAACAAACTGACATACTCACACCCATGTGTATTATGACACTATTAATAACAGCAAATAGTGGAAGCAATGGAAGTGTCCATCGACAAATGCATGGCTAAAGAAACTGGTGAAGTATTATGCATTACTAAAAATTGATGCATAATAATTTTATGCACCAACAACCAGAGCCAAGGAAGAGGAGATAGAAGATTTTTACCAACATTTACAATTGGAGATTGATCGAACATGCAATCAAGATGCATTGATAATAATGGGTGACTGGAATGCAAAAGT